CACATAGTTGGCATATAGAGTAAGTGTGTTTCATTACTGCTTGAATAGATTGACAAAAACAAAAGCCAAACGATCACGAAGCAGGCGAGGATAATGGGTCTGTCCACAACGCGGTGGGGGGAGCGCTTTTACTTTTTCTGTGATTTTCACTCTTACATCCATTTCCACAGTGCATGCCCGCAGAAACCAAGGCTAGGCAAGTTGAGGAAGAGGCTTTTCTCTGCCCAAAATTCAGACTGACTTTTGGGGCATATTTTGGGGTAGAATCTCTGCTCTACTCTGGACAGGAAGCAATGCATTGACAGGTTATGGGCTGAAAATCGGAAACTTATGACTTTGGGATAAAGGGTCGAGTTTGATTTTCGATTTGCCATCGCAGCAGCCTGGTCGAGACGGACCGGCCCTCTGGATACGAGGCGTGGACTTGAAGTTGGCGCTGAAAAGCTAGAAATCCTCGAGTGTTATGAACGTTATAAGCCTCATATTCTGCATAAAAGTTGTAAAAACCCTAGTCTAAAGACATATTCTGGTCTGGAAAGAGTAAAAGTACAGCTGCGGACTGTGGGCTGCTGACCAGTGTAACGGCTCACCTCATCTGTGATGGCCATGGCACTGGTGCATCGACGATCCGGAGTTGACTTGGTGCGAGTCTGCGGTCGACGACGACGACCAAGAAGAAGAAGAAAAAGGAGGAGGAAGCAGAGGATAAAATCGAGAGAACAAGCGAGACTGAACAAGAGTAGAAGAAAAGGAGAGCAAAGAAGGAAAAAATAAAAAGGAATAGGAGCAAAGATAGCGGCGCATCCCTCCTCTAGGTCCACATTGATTGGTCATCCCGGGGCTGTTTTGCCCAGGAGCATCAATCGATGTGAGAGGTGAAAGAAGCCCACAATATCAGTCTACCGATTTGCCTGCAAGCCTCTATACCTCTCCTCCGTCCGAATATCTACCTGTGTGTCTCTTTAACATGAATTCGTTGCGTAAAGGTACATTTTGTAATGCTGTATGTCTGCCTATCCATCTATTGGCTTGACTAATTGTCATTCGGTCTAATTTCTTGCCTTTGCATGATGCATCATGCCTCTCTTCTAAACTATTCACATACCACTTTGCCTAAACTCCCATTGCTGCCTGCTCGCACGTTAGCTTGAGGCTCCTCTCCTTGTGAGACCCTGTTAGAACTTCCAAATTAATAAAAGTTCAACTAGTATATTGCTTGCCTGTCCCTAACTCCACCCATCCATCGGTCTGGTGACAATTTGTCTGCCTGTATGTATGCATTTGTTTCGGTAGTTATTTCTGTCAATCTGTTGGCTATTAATACACAAATCTATCTAGTCGATTTTCCTACCCGTGTGTTTTTAAGTTTCAATATATATATACATATATATATATATATATATGAATGCTTTTATGCTGATCTTTCACTAGTCTATAAAGTCCACTTACTTGTCTGTCCTTCTATAAGTTTGTATTTATTCCTGTCCATCTATCAGTCACAAGCTTATATAATTATTTTGCATACCTGTCCTTCAATCTGAAAGTATGTGAGCATTTAGGTCATTTTTTACATTTATGCCTGTATTTCTGCCTATGTGAGCTGTTTTCAGCGAATTTCGTTTAGGGTGATGAAGGAGTGGAAGTTGAAAAAACATTTATTTCAGTATGCTTGTCTCATTACACTTATCTACTTACTGTGTATTCCTCACTCTATCCGCCCGTTTATTCTCGCTTCCATCTTTCTGTCAACCTGCCAGTAAGGATG